TTTCTTTTTTTTAATATAATTTTTATTTATTACAATTTATTCACTTTGTATCCCTGCTGTAGTCCCTACCCTTGTCCCCTCCCATTCCCACCCTTTCTCATTCCTTCCCTCCCTCATCTCCTCCCATGAGCCTTCCCTAGCCCGCTTATAGGGAAGAACCTCTTCTCCTTCCATGTGACCCTAGCCTATCAGGTCTCATCAGTACTGTCTTTTATAGTCTTACTATGTGGCCTGGTAAGGCTCCCCCCGTCCCCTCAGGGGGAGCCATCCACTGAGTTCATGTCAGAGACAGCCCCTGTTCCCCTTACAAGGGAGCCAATTTGGAGACTGAGCTGCTACGGCCTACATCTCTGCAGGGGTTCTAGGTTATCTCTGTGAATGGTCCTTGGTTGGAGTTATCAGTCTCAGAAAAGACCTCTAGGCCCAGATTTTTTGGTTCTGTTGTTCTCCTGTGGAGCTCCATTCTATCTCCCCCTTCTTTTGTAAGATTCTCTTCACTCTCCCCAAAGTTTGGCTATGAGTCTCAGCATCTGCTTTAATACCCTCTGGATAGAGTCTTTCAGAGGTCCTCTGTGTAGGCTCCTGTCTTGTTCCCTGTTTTCACCTTCTTCCGATGTCTATCCTGTTTGCCTTTCTAAATGAAGATTGAGCATCTTACCCAGGGTCCTCTTTGCTTAGCTTCTTTAGGTGTACAGATTTTAGTATGATTATCCTATATTATATGTCTAATACCCACTTATAAGTGAGTATATACCACATATGTCTTTCTGCTTCTAGGATACCTCACTCAGGATAATCTTTTCTAGGTCCCACCATTTGCCTGCAAATTTCATGATTTCCTTGTTTTTAATTGCTGAGTAGTATTCCATCGTGTGAATGTACCACAATGTCTGTATCCATTCCTCAATTGAGGGTCATCTGGGTTGTTTCCAGATTCTGGCTATTACGAATAAAGCTGCTATGAACATGATTGAGCAAATGTCCTTGTTGTGTACTTAAGCATATTTTGGATATATGCCTACGAGTGGCATAGCTGGATCTTGAGGAAGCACTATTCCTAATAGTCTGAGAAAACACCAGATTGATTTCCAAAGTGTTCGTACAAGTTTACATTCCCACCAGCAATGGAGGAGGGTTCCCCTTTTTCCACATCCTCTCCAGCAAGTGTTGTCACTTGAGTTTTTGATCTTAGCCATTCTGATGGGTGTAAGGTGAAATCTCAGGGTCATTTTTATCTGCATTCACTGATATAGCTAAGGATGTTGAGCATTTCTTTAAGTGTTTCTCTGCCATTTGGCATTCCTCTATTGAAAATTCTCTGTTTAGCTCTGTACCCCATTTTTTTAATTGGATTGCTTGATTTGTTGCTGTTTAACTTCTTGAGTTCTTTATATATTCTGGTTATTAGCTCTCTGTCAGATATAGGGTTGGTGAAGATCCTTTCCCAATCTGTAGTTCTGATAACAGTGTTCTTTGCTTTACAGAAACTTTTCAGTTTCATGATGTCCTGTTTATTTATTGTTGATCTTAGAGCCTGTGCTGTTGGTGTTCTGTTCAGGAAGTTGTCTCCTGTGCCAGTGAGTTCTAGGCTCTTCCCCACTTTTTCTTCTAAACGATTTAGTGTGTCTGGTTTTATGTTGAGATCTTTGATCCACTTGGACTTTAGTTTTGTGCAAGTGATAAGTATGGATCTATTTTCATTTCCTTATATGTAGATATCCAGTTAGACTATCACCAATTGTTGAAGATGCTATTTTTTTTTCCATTGTATGGTTTTAGCATCTTCGTCAAAAATCAGGTGTCCATAAGTATGTGGGTTTATTTCTGGGTCTTCTGTTCGATTCCATTGATCCACCATTCTGTTTCTATGCCAGTATCATGCAGTTTTTATTACTATTGCTCTATAGTACAGCTTGAGATCAGGGATGAAGATACCTCCAGAAGATCTTTTATTGTAGAGAATTGTTTTAGCAATTCTGGGTTTGTTATTATTCCATATGAAGTTGAGAATTTTTCTTTCAAGGTCTGTAAAGAGTTGTGTTGGTGTTTAGATGATGCATTGAATCTGTAGATTGCTTTTGGCAGTATGGCCATTTTCTCTATGTTAATCCTGCTAAGCCATGAGCATGGGAGATTTTTCCATCTTCTGATATCTTCTTCTATTTCTTTCTTCAGAGACTGGAAGTTTTTTTCATACAAGTCTTTGACTTGCTTGGTTAGAGTCACACCAAGTGCTTTGCTATTTGGTCCCAAGAGAATGTACAGACTAGTCACATGTCAGTTCCCTCCTGAGGGCTGAGATCCTTCCATGTGCTGTATCCTCCGGCAATCGTGGAATACCTCTGCTGCTTTGCAGCTTCTCTTGGTTAAGAGAGACAAATTAGCAGTCAAGCCAGGTAGGGAGTGTAGGCCTGCAATCCCAGTACTTGTAATGTGAGGTCTCAAGTCTGAGGCACTGTCTGAGATGAAAAAAATCCCTAGTCATCTCTGGTGGTACACACCTTTAATCCTTCACTAGAGAGGTGAGGCAGACAGATCTCTATAAGTGTGAGGCTAGCCTGGTCTTATGTAGGGGTCTTAAGTGTGAGTTCCAGGACATCCAAGGCTATCATCAAACAAAACAAAACAAAAACCTACCCCTAACCTGCCAGAAATGCTGATGAGAAGAGACCATTTCAGAGACTGAGAGAACTCCAGAGAATGAGTATAAAGGAGAATAAGCGGGGTGTTCTTTAACATCTAATGTTGAGAAGTCTCTGAAGGCAAGAAGATGGGTTGTGGCATCGAGGAACAGTGTATGGAGACAAGCAGAAGCCAAATAATAGAGGCACAGGCATATCATCACTGGAAACCTAGCCAACAAGATCATTTTGGAGAAGGAACAACTGTCTATTCATCCTGCTGAGCCAGGCATGGCAGGGGAGCAAGAGATCCCCCTTGCTTTGGACTTAGGCCAAACCCTGTAACCCACTGTCAAAGCTGAGAGAAGGGCTTTGCTGTGCTCACCCAGACAGCAGGGGTAAGCCATTGCCCTGGCTGTGGGTGCCGTGGCACAGTAGATTCTTTATTGAGTAGGGACAGGAACCTGATGGGAGGGGAGGCAAGAGGCAAGAAAAGAGGGGCAAGGATAACAGTGACTGTTTGACTGTAGGGGTGACAGCAGTTTGGGGGGCACCTCTGTAGAAGAGAATACTCAGCGATCAAAAAGAAGAAAACTGTGGACTTTCACTCTCTGGATGCATCTCAGAGTAATTATGTGGAAGAAGTGAAAGAAGCCAGATAGAAAGGGGTGCACATTGCAAAGTGTATGTCAGAATTCTAGGAAATGTGAGTGCCGCTTTATAAAAAGGGGCCCATTGACGTGGCTCGGCAGATGAAAGCACTTGCTGCCAAGCCTGACGGCCTGAGTGTCATCCCTAAGATACACATGGTGGAAGGAAGGAACTGTTTTCCCCAAGTTGTCTTCTGACAACACACGTACACACACACACACACACACACACACACATGTAAAAGCCTGGAGTGATGGTGAGCAGGTGGGTGGTTGTCTGGGGAAGCAGGAAGGGAGAGGGATTTCAAAGTTGGAGGAGAAACTTGGGGTGATGGGCGTGTTTGTTATCCTAAGTGTGGAGATTGTTCCAGGGAGATGTACGTGTTAAGACTTACCAAGTAGCTTAAAGAGGTGTTTACTGTCTAATGTATGCATTATATCCCTTGATAAAGCCTAGGAAGAGTTCTAACCAGTAACTGGAGGAGGGGTGGCCTTACTTTAAACGTGAATAGATAAGCATCAGATTCATGCATGACACAAGGCTTTGTGCTTGGGAACTGAGGGGACAGGGACCTTCCTGTGAAGGTCACTATATGTCATACTGGCCTGCATTTTCCACCTCCTTGTGCAATTGAAACATCTAGAAAATTTGGTAGTAGGGTTTGGATTCCCTAGAAACTGCCATTTCAAGCCTGCAGCCTTGGTACTTGCTCCATATCTCCTGGGTCTTTCCTTAACTGCAGCTGCAGCTGAAGTGAGTAGGTGCCTGACATGAAGGCATCGCTGCCTCTGAGCTGCTTGCTGGGCTGTCTGCTGAGGGAACATGCCCAGCTTGTGATGTGTGAGGGCACTCTTGCCCCAGGGGCCACCTTCAGCAAGCGGTGGGCAAGCAGACTAACTTCTGTCTTTGGGAGACAAAGTACACGAGATGGATTCCAGGAGGGAACCCTGATTACCCCCAGCTCTGACACTTTCAGGAGCACCCTCCCACCCTGCTTACTTTCCTCACTCCCTGCCTACACCAAGTCCTTGTTTTAGGTTCTGCTTTCAAAATACACCATATGAGACACTCCCGGAGTCCCAGGAGCCTGCATTTAACATGCACAACAGGTCTCCTTGACGCAGAAGCCCCAGGAACCACACTTCATTTGAGTTTACTTAAAATACATATATTTTAGTTTTTTGGGTTTGTTTTGTTTTGTTCTTTTGACACAGAATCTCACTTTGTAGCTCATGCTAGCCTGAAACTTCCTCTGTCCTGAGATCTGGAAATTGTTAGGATGACTGGTATTCACCACTATCCCCAGCTAGAGCCAGTCTTTAAAGAATGCTACTATAGCCAGCGAAAAGCTGTGAAAGGTTTTACTAGGGAGTGATGGGGCATCTTTGCTCCTGTAGGAGATTAACTCTGGTGGCAATGTAAATCAGGTGGAAGCAGCAAGAGACCAGGAGGCAGCGAGACCAATTAGTGGGCCATTACCAGTATCCTGACAGGAGGCGATGAAAGCCTAGACAGTGCTGAGGCTGCCTCTTTGAGAAAGTTCTTTGATTCACAGAGTATGTATGGCTTTGCAGAGAGAGGAGAGGGAGTCCATTTCACATCTGCTGGCTCAGCTTTAGAGAATTCACATTAAGCACTTCACAGTTCTGTTTGGGGGCATCTTCCACTTCTACAATTTGACACATCATTCTGTGACACATTTTTCTTTTGTTCCATTTTGTGATTCAGGATCTTGACATTGGTGCCAAGAATGTGAAACTCTATGTCAACAAAAGCCTCATCTTCGATGGTGTGTTAGACAAAGGAGGAGGTGAAGCCCCTTTTGATTGTACCATCCCTGTTGACCTTCAGAGTGAAAAGAATGAGAACCCAGAGAAGGCCTTGATCACTGGCTGGAAAGAAAGCAAAGGTGTCCTCAGGATGGCTGGCATGAGTGGGGACGAGTTGCTTGGAGTCAGCTGCTCACAGCCAGCTGAAGCCTTGGTGGATATGACAGTTGCCTCACAAGGAGATTTCCTTGGTGAAAGGGTACATTCTACTCACTGCCTGAAGGACAGTTTGTCCAAGTTACAGGAAGATGTAAGACTGTTGGCAGCCCCTGCCTCGATGGGTGATGGACTCAGTGTCCCTTCTTCCTCCTCTCCTGGGAAATGTCCTCCTCTAGAAGAAGAGCCCTCTTTGATCCAACAGCTGGAAAACCTCAGAGGTAGGAAAATCTCTGAACCCACCGGGAAAACCCCACACTGGTTACAGCCTTCTCCAGAAGGGATGAGCAAGAAGCAGGCAGGAAGGAAGCCCAAGCCCCTGTGGCTCAGCCCTGAAAAGGATCTGGAACAGAAGAGCAGGCTTTCATCTGATGACATCATTGGTGATGCTCCTGGAGAAGTGGAGGCCAGGGAAAAAGGCCCCCGGCATGAGCAAGGGAGGACTAGCAGCTGGAATGTCATCATTGATGAGAGACCCCAGAGGGCATCCTCCAAAGCCTGTGGCAATGACTTAGACATCTTTAGCCAGCCTCCTAACAGAGATCGCCCTGCTAGTGGGAGGAGGGCCCTGAAGAAGGATGCCAGTGGTAGCCATGGTGATGACCAGCCAGCCAGCAAAGGTAAGCTTTGAGAAGCCCCTGTTGGAGTGAAACCATTTGCTTTCTGGACCTTGTTTTTGTTTTTTTAAATCTATAAAACAAGAGGGCTATTCTCAAATAGGGGGTTACAAATCCACTGTCTCAGCCAGAGAGGTGGTACAAATGAGAGGTAACCAGGAACTCTGCCTGTTACCCTCCTAGACGTGATTGTCACTGGCACTAGGGTCTGTCCCTTGACCCAATTTTCTTGCACTACATGTTTTTTCAACCTGGACTTTATTCTCCACATTTGATAAAGGCTTTAGTCTCTAGTAACTTATCTGACTCTGTACTGTTAAAAGGCAACTCCAGAGTGATGCTGAACACAGCTGGCCCTTGCCTGGGTATAGAAAAAACAGTGGACATTACAGGGTGGTGGCCAGAGGGACCAAGGCCATTGGAAGGAGGCAGCCACTATTCCAGTCTTTTTGCTGGCCTCCAGAAATGCATGGCTAGTGTGCCTGTCTGCTTTTTCTTTTGTCATTACAAACTGGAATACGGAGAAGTCTTGCTTTACAATGTTAGCAACTGATGATTATTTTGAAACCACTGTGTGTGTGTGTGTGTGTGTGTGTGTGTGTGTGTGTGTGTGTGTGTGT